GGCCTCAATGTGAAAGATCCTTAGCTATTTGCCACCTATGTATGCATATAATGCACCAAAAATTGAGCTAAAAACTATCTTCTAAGCACCTTTTGCAAGACTAAGCTCCCCATTCTTTTAATCTTTCAGACCAAGGCCCCCAATTCACCATTAATGTGGACTGATCTTTTACTTTTGAAATATTCGTTTCCAACTTTGATGGTGAAGAATGCTGTGGCAAAACCATGATATTAACAAAGCCATTGAAGCCCTCAATTTTCAGTGATCCCCTTATAAACCCTCAACAAGTATTCAGCCTCATTCCCAAAACTCAACACATATCTTTGCAAAAATATATTTTCTGCTCTTTTGCAAAACGACGTGAATTCGACATCCTTCTTGAGCAAATTCTTCGATCTCAAAGCTTTCAAGACTCGGTGCCTGGGGATAACCCTTCCCTCTAAACTAAGGGAGAAAAGCAGAGGATGCGAAACAAGATAAAACTTGTCTAATTTTAATACATTAATGAAATAATCCATACGCATGTTCAAGTTCTTCTCAGACAAAGTGAACAAATATGGAGACCTTCGTAATGCACACACAACATCCTCTTCGGACCACCCAAAATTCTTACACAACTCAACTTTGGCCTGCCATGTCTCCCTGCTCAGACAACTCATTGCCAAAATCGCATGAGAAAACAACCCCGAATTAGGGTCGAAACCCATTTCCTTCACCCTCTCTGCAATTTCCTTAATTCGTTTTGGTTCCATAGTAAAGAATCTGGGCTGTCTTAAAAGAAATTTATGTAACCGTGAGTCCTCAACTCCATAGCTTTCCAATAACCTTATGTTGGGTACTAGTCTCTTCTGTATATCAAATATCAGAATCCAACTAGATTTCTTGAGAGCTCTTACAACCTTCTCATTGGTGTGCAAATAGTTCTTGAGGAACTCAATTTTTGGGAGAATTTGTTTCTCAGTGCTCTTTGTGAGAATGACTGGATCTGCAGAGATGATGTGCCCGAGATCGCACCCCAAAAGACCCAAATCATGGAACGCTCTGAATTTGGGTTTGAGGGTTTTCTCCACATTGGCTTTAAGAAGCTCGGGACGTTTACAGATGATAGTTTGGATATGGGTATCACTGAAATCTGAGTTTTTTAGGAAGTTTATTACAGAGAGGGGATTTTCAGTGGTTTTAAGGTGGAGAAGACACGAAGATGCATTCACGGCTGATTCCATTGAGAGGCCAACATAATCCATGAGAAGAGTAACAATGGAAGGAAGAGAAGCAGAGGTGGAGGAAGAAGTGAAAGGGGGAAGAGAGAGAGAAGAAGAAGAATCATTGAAAGAGAGAGATAAAGAAAGAGAGAAGGGAAGGGAAAAGAGGAATTGAGGCATATAGAGAGAATGGGGTTTTGCCAAAGCCAAGCTTTTTCTGAGGGTTGGGAGCATCATTATTCAACCAACAATGGTTACATAAAGAACAAAAGAAAAACCAGGCATGGTAATGTAAAGAGGATAGCAAAAATACCTCTTTTACTTAGAATGGTGGATCCAGCTGCTTCGTCTTCTGCAAAATAATCAGAAACCTCCAAATGGAGAAAATGGGTTTTAAAAGCTGATACTTTGTGAGGGGAAAAAATCCCAAAACATTCAAACAGAGAGCAAAACAGCAGGCCTGTGTAATCCCAACAGACACAAATGCTATTTTTCCCTCCCTCTCTCTCTTTCTCTCACTCTCTCTCCAAAATGCGCACTCTCTCTCTAAACCCAACAGGTACACAAATCTCTGTCTCTCTCTCCTTTGCTCGTCTACGCTCGAACCCTAGAAAAGGAGTAAAATGCAGTCCGTAGAGCATGTTCCTGCGGGCGCACACTGGAAAATAACTCCATCAGACAAAATAGCTGCTTGGGAGCATTTATGGAAAATTGCTTCATGCGGCGGGACCGCAGTTCAACATTTCTGGTCCCCAAAGTATAAAGCATCCAGTTAATAGGTCGTTTATCTAAAAATAATTGAAACTAACTGTTAAGATGTTTTCTTATTATTTTTAAATTTTAAAATATATTTACTTACTTATATGGGAAAAGCTAACGAACATCGAGAGCTATAATGAATAGTAATATAAGTGGAATCTCAACCGTCAGATCTTCATCATGTGGCAAAAAATACATATCACTATATAAATTTTAATATTTTTTCTAGAAATCAAATTATAATGAAATTTTAATAGTGTGCACTAAAAAATAGACGCACAATTAAAAAATATAAAAAAAATATTTTTTAAATATAAAATGATTTAAATATCCCTTAAAATAATGGCGGTATATTAATAATTTTAAATTATTGTAAATAATTTTTTTATATTTTTATATGGTGCGCAATAAGCTTAGGTATATACACTCAAAATGTCATCTTAATCAGATTTATAGAAAAAATTAAAATTAAAATAGTGTTATGTATTTTGAACTAGTCGATAAAGATTTGACGGTTGAGATTCCACCTATTTTACTATTCATTATAGCTGCCAAGTGTTCGGAAGGTTTACTGTATTTATATTTATAATCTCCATATTAGATATTACATGTCGCTTAAAATTAGGTCAAAAAATCTGTGTTAAAAATAGATTTTTAAGAAGTGACCCATTTCTACATGGACTCATAGAAATCATGTTATTTTATTCCATCTAAATATAACTGAATGATTAGTTTCAATGGAAAACACATGAATTTTGAGTTATTGAACATCTAGATCTTTTCTTCCAAAAGTTGGATTGTTCTTGTGCAATCTTGAAACATCGAATTTTAGAGTGCAAGTTAAATTTTTTTTTTTTCTTTTGAGGTTATTTGCTCCTATATTATATGAGGGGCTTAAACAATCAAATTAAGGGGCACATAAAAAATTCATCAGAAGATGTTGTTTCGATGCCCAAATATCTTCAAGGGGGCACACTTAATAAAAATAAAAAAAACTTATTTTTGATAAGAATAAAATAGTCAAAATTCCGAGCAAATTAAGAAGGTATTTTAGTCATTTATTCTTATGAGAAATATTTTTGTTATTTGCATTAAGTACACTCTCGTGACAATTAAGCCTCATATTTGATGTCAAATTTTTTTATAAAATAATAAAATCAAATATGACATAATTCTAAATCCTTCGATTAAAGTCAAACATTTAGAGGCTAACTTGTGATCTTATTTTTAAAGCTATCCTAACTACCGATTTAAATCGAACGGCTGAAACTAATAATTGAATATGCTTCATATATGGTTGACATGGTTGACATCAAGTAATCAAGCCTCATATTTGTTGTCAAACTTTTTTATAAAATAATAAAAATCAAATATGACATAATTCTAAATCTTCGATCACACACTAGAGGATAACTTGTGACATTATGATTAGGGTTAGAGGATAACTGGTGACATTATGATTAGAGTTTGTATACAATGCGACCATTTATTTTTGGCATAAGGATGTCATAATGGCTTATAACCCTCTAATGTGAAATTTGATTGGTTTTTATACAATAAGACCATTTATCTTTGGCATAAGGTGGTTACAATTGCTTATAACCCTCTATTATGAAATTTGATTATTTGAGTAAGTCACACAGTTTGAAAAGATTTCTTTTGAAATTTGATTATTTGAATAAGTCACAAAATTTGAAAAGATTTCTTTTAAACTTTGAGCTTGATCTATAGAATAAATGCAACCACCCAATTTCACATCCAAAGATCATATCAATTATGACCATCTTGTATTAAATATAAAAGGTTTCATTGTATACTTTTCCTTATAATGGGTATAGCCATCCTATCTACCGATTTAAATTGAACTGTATAAATCAATAAGTGAATATGCTTCACATATAGTTGACATCAAAGACTTTGGATATTTGCAAACATCCCTCTCTTATACAGAGGGAGAGATCTCTCTCTCTCAAAAATTTAAAATAAGTGAAGCCTCGCCTCATGACTCATCGAAACTTACAACTTAGCATTGGAAAACTTTTACATCAATTATCTTGACTTGAACATTATAGTTGTGACAAAAAAATAAGAGTTTTAAGCTCTAAAAAAAGTATATATTGTAACAAATTATCTAGACCATCTATTTCACCATAAAAATAAGTATTCATAGATCCACAAAATCTGTACCATTATTTGAATTTCAATTTTTATTGTAGTTGAAAATTGATTTTAGATCCATCGTAAATTTTAGATGAGGACTTGACAAGAGGCTTTATTTTGTTTTCATAAAGCCTTTATAGAAACTTAATCCTTATTTAAGTTGTAGCATGAAGGGTCATAATAGATCTTAAGTTAACCCATCAGGCTTCTATTGCTAATGGAATGCTTCAAAATCTACCAACAATGTATTAATCCTCATCTCCTGAATCCAACTTTACTTTTGGGCGTGTATAGCATTGCTCCTGTTAGATTTTACAGTTATTTGATCTGATTTCACCAAATGAATAACAACATAACATGACGGTTAAATTCTTAAACACCTAAATCTAACCACCCCAAAACTGGATGTTCATATTCAATAGGACTTTTTTAAGAAAGTACTACAAGTTTGGAAGGTGAATTCAGCTTTTTCTTTTTGATTACTATTATGAGTGGAGTACACCCTCAAAATTTTGATCCCAAAGTATTCTTTTTTATTTATCTTTGGCACATGACATATTAAAAGATACATTTAATAAGGCCATTTACATTTGATATAAAGAAGTCATAATCATTATTAACCGTTAAAAGGTGAAATCAAACAAGTAGAGATGTGTCATTGACTACACACA